ACCAGGGGACCGCAGGTTTTAGTCCTTGGTTCCATTTACCAGGGCTCCATTTTGGGTACCTATTTTTGACCCATAGCCATGTAGAAGTAACTTGTTCCTGTTCATGTACCGTTGATTTTGGTAGGCAACCAGTTGGTTTCATGTATATTTAGGTCTTCAACTGTGTGCCTGGTTACGTGCCGTAGTGACAACTGGAAGGGTGGTGGGTTCGCAGTCTTCAGCCTGTCCGACCGATGTCTGAGCGTACGAGTGAGCCGACGAAGTTCTCAATCTTCACAGCAACAGCCAAATAGAGGACAAGCTAGCATCATGCACTCCTGAGTGGGTATCCCTGAAATTCTACACCAATTTGCCAGAAAGCGATCCCCCCTTTTGGCGAGCTTCAGGGCCCCTGATGGGCAGGGAGTACTTTAGATTATTTAGATCCCCATGTTTGGAGAAACAAACAGGACCCTTAGAGGGTTTGACAATTGGTGCAGGTGGTCCGGTGGTCCCTTCATTCTTCCAGCATGGGGCGCCAAAAGGAAAACTGTAGTGGTACACACGCGGGGTACATGGCATTGCCTTGTGCTCGTACTGCAAATAGCCACCATTTCCACAGTCAGTATTTGGAGTCTTTGGGCCGCACTTTTGGTTGCCAAGGGCTGAGCTGGACCTTCACATTCAGCCGCGCCCGCCGAGTCTCCTTTGGCCATCGAGTAATTAAGAGAATCGAGAATCGGAGATAGTGTTGGCACATGCCCAAGCGTGGATTACCGTCAACACTCGAGCAGTATTTTTGAGCGCAGCGCGCTACACGCGCCATCCCCTGACAGGTCACGGCCTAAGAGGAGGTTTGGCCCGCCTGCCAATATCTGAGCAAGACCATCCCCATCCCCAAGTCATGTCTAGCTGGGGAGGTGTCGGACTGTCAAAGGGGAATTGCAATACACAACCACGTGTAGGTGAAAGCAAACATACACATTTATTTTCCTCGGGGACAGTTGTAAGGGATGGAAGAGCCAGGTATGCCTAGACGGCCCGTGTCATCCACTGAAAAAGACGAGGCACGGCCTAGTTTCACCCCGGTCCACTCGTTGAAAAAAACGTCAACGCCATGTTCGGGCTTTCAGCTGTACAGCCAGAGCTTTCAGTTTTTTCCGTCCAAAACTTCATCTGCACTCACACCCGGCGCGCAGTGGAGCGGGTGTTCTTATCATTTGGCGGGCGTGGGTGCAGTGCTGAGCGGCTGCACTTGAGGGGAGTGCTTATCATTTGGCAGCGAGTTTGCTCGCCACCTAACAGACAGGCGTCTGTGCAGTGCTGAGCAGGCGCTCTTTAGCAGGTGTCCTTACCACTTGGCAGGCGTGGGTGCAGTGCTGAGAGGGCGCAGCCGAAAGCTGAGCATGCGTAGCAAACGCGCCTGCGTCACGAACGAGTGTTTTCTGCGAGGCGCAAAGAACAATAGGCAGTAGGAGCAAGCTGCTGGCTGGAAGGGCAAAAGGGCAACTCTCATTTGACTAATCCACCGGGGCCCTGAAGCAGCTCTCAAGCCCTTGGCCCTCAAGCGGCGCAACCCGAAGTGCTCGGCGAAGCCACGCGTTCCCTTTCTCCAAGCAGAGCTTCGCCAAGGTGGCACCTCCGCCAATCGCGGTGAAGTACTACGTGTCTGGCGACCTCCACAACTTTGCCGGGACCTTGGCCTCGCAGGGAAGAAGGGGTCCAAGTAGATGGCGTGTTGAGGTTGTAAGATGGCCATGTTTTGTTGCCAGGGTCGTTGCGCCAGCAAAAAGTTGCGAAGCCCTCCACATTCAGCACTTTGTTCGATCTTTCTTCGTCTAACTTGTTTGGTGCTGTACAAACAACATTCTGATGGTTGTTCAAGATAATTCACAGGAACCCACTGATGCTTCACCTTTATGTCCGTGTAAACTTTTACGTTTGTCAGGCCTTTCTGGCAAAACTACTTTCAACATTCCAAACGTTTCAATTCTTACTTCACAGATAGGAGACAGTTGGGTGGATTGCCCTTTCAATGTGCCAAAACAACCTTTTTTTCTGTGGCCACTGAAGACTCACCACACTGGCGGCGGGAGGGTTGGGCAGCGCAACTTATGGCGAGGCTGCTCACAAAGCTGTGTTCAGGTGAGGCATTTTGACTTGTTATCGTGGTGGAAATGGATCTCACATACTCTTTGCACAAGGCTAGTCATTGCTTGAATGCAGCCCATATCTTTGTGAGGGGTATGTACATTTCGAGATCTATCATTGAACATTTCGTGGGTTCCGATGCGTTGCTCTTTCAACCATTGCTAACCTTCGATCGAGCCCAAACGATCAATGGGAAGCTTATGGATCTCAATGGGAAGGTTAAAACCCCGAACCGTCGCTAGTTCCAAATCAGTATACGAAGAACGTGCTCCAAATAAAGGGCCCCTGTGTCAGGCGGGTTGGCCTCGTGGAAAAGAGTCTTTTGGAGGGCCTTAGAATCAAGTGAAGTGGCAACCCATGACAGTTCACCTCTTTGACTTAGCTTTTCTTTGCCTGTCTGAATATTCAACGCAAAGTTGCATCCTCTCTATTGAGATCCCCTCTGCACGAGCAAGGGTTGTCTTTTACCCCAAGAAGGGAAGCGGCAAAAATACAGTGATTGCCAGCCATTCGGCCATTTGCGAGGCATCCATGATTCACACTCGCGGTGCGAGCAAAATGTGAGCCGCGAGTCGGGCGTCGCCCAAGGACAAGTTTCAGACCAGTCCGAAGAAGGACTGCCGCTTGGGCCACGATTTGCCATTCTCCCGCTGTGGAGCAAGAACAAAACAACGTACAGTGAGAGAATGGCGGTCCCCTTGCCAAATCCTTACCTGCATTTTGGCCGACCCATCTGATATCCGGGTTTGCTTATGGGAGCTTTGGGCGTTTTCAAGCCAATGTTGGTGCGATTGGAGTCAAGGCAGGTAGAAAGGAACAGAAAAAGCTGTGTTTCTGCTTGAGTCCTTCGCTGAAATTTCTTTGGAGATGTTTGGCAGGGCAACATGAAACCAGGGCCAGCCCCAGACCTTGGCTAGGCATTTCTTTTCTTCCGAAAGCGGAGCAGTAACCCAACCAATCAAGGTTAACGAGCACTTCTTGGTCCCTTTTCAACTGCACTTTGAGTCATTTTTGAGTTGCTCCTAGTCTTGACCTGGCAAGGAGTCTTTTCTTCCCTGTTGATTCTAGCAGTTCATTGTGTCTTTAGGTTTCTATTTCTGATTATTTCCCTGATTACCTACCTTTTTCAGTGTTGCATGATGGCCCAACTGATTGCCATTCTCGTTGCATGATGGCCCAACTGATTGCCATTGTCACTACCAGTTGGTTTCTGCAAATCTCACTGCGCGTTTTTACGTGGATTCCAGAAGTTGGATCCCTGAGGAGCCCCGGCGGCCGCCTTGCGACAACCTCTTGGACGCCTGGGGCCCTGCGAAACCCACTTGGCAGGTTGGTTGGGGCTCAAGTCACATTCATTGGGTGTCCACCTCCGTTTTTTTGGACTTGATTGTTTTCCAGTTGGCCTTGGGTTCCCCCACCTCGTTTTTTTGGTTTCTTGATTGTTTTCCAGTTGGCCTTGGGTTCCACCAACTTGTTTTTTGGTTTCTTGATTGTTTTCCAGTTGGCCTTGGGTTCCACCAACTTGTTTTTTGGTTTCTTGATTGTTTTCCAGTTGGCCTTGGGTTCCACCAACTTGTTTTTTGGTTTCTTGATTGTTTTCCAGTTGGCCTTGGGTTCCACCAACTTGTTTTTTGGTTTCTTGATTGTTTTCCAGTTGGCCTTGGGTTCCACCAACTTGTTTTTTGGTTTCTTGATTGTTTTCCAGTTGGCCTTGGGTTCCACCAACTTGTTTTTTGGTTTCTTGATTGTTTTCCAGTTGGCCTTGGGTTCCACCAACTTGTTTTTTGGTTTCTTGATTGTTTTCCAGTTGGCCTTGGGTTCCACCAACTTGTTTTTTGGTTTCTTGATTGTTTTCCAGTTGGCCTTGGGTTCCACCAACTTGTTTTTTGGTTTCTTGATTGTTTTCCAGTTGGCCTTGGGTTGCACCAACTTGTTTTTTGGTTTCTTGATTGTTTTCCAGTTGGCCTTGGGTTGCACCAACTTGTTTTTTTGGTTTCTTGATTGTTTTCCAGTTGGGCTTCTGACAAAGAAGACCTAATGTGTCAAAGCGAGTGGCAAAGACACAGGGTTGGCTCGTTTTATAAGCAAGGAAGGAGCAGTCACCAACCCATTAAACTGTAGCAGTTTGGGCTTGTTCTGCCTTGTCTTGAACTTCAGAAACCAACCGTTCGACCTTTTCTTGTCCGCTCACTCTTTGCTCTTGGGTCAGAGCACGCATTCTTCGCATCAACACAGCTTGTTGCCGATCTTTTGGCACGCCAAGATACGTACAGTTCAGGTCGCTACTAGTGCTTTGCTGCCCCTGCCCATTTTCCACACTCCGCGGGCCTGAGGAGCATTGACACAGTTTTTGCAGAGGCCTTTGGGTGGTCATGTTTAAGGGTGATCCCTGGTGTGCCATGTATTGCTCTTTGCTTTCCTGGGGCTAGCAGAAGAGAAGCACCTTCCCACCTTGCATTCGAACATGCATGTCCCCAAGCCTTGCGGAAAGATTCGAGATGCAAATGTGCCAGCTTCTAAAGCCTGAAGAAATACACACTTCGGTCCATCTGGCAGTAGGTCTTCGAAAATATCCGGGATGATGAGCTGGAGCACATCTTCACCATGAAGGCCCAGAAGTCGTAGGGGCAAATGGCAGTGGCTCATAGGACCAGAAGTCCAGAAGGGGGGAGGGAACCACAATCCCCAAGTGGCCCGGAAAAAACGAAGAGGGGACTGCCCATGAGCCATCGGCAGGCAATATGAGGCGCTTCTTCATATTTGGAGATGCGTCAAAGCCAGACAACTCTCATAAGAACTTCTTATTCAAATCCAAGCTTTCAAGTTTTATGTCAACAAATCCTGAGTTTTTGAGTGGGTTGAGAGAGCAT